TTCACAGATCTGACACTGCTCATATAGTTATTGGCAGATCAAATTTTGTGGATCTTCTCAGCACCAGGCTGGGAAAATACAGGCTGTGAAATTGTTAATAAGCCACAATGGAAACTTAAAAAGACAATGTGAGGGTAGTTAGGCACGGGGGCAATAGCATTGTTTGGGTAATCAGTTTGTTTTATTGTGCTATGTTTGTGCAGACACACACACACACGTGCACAAAATGGAGCTGGGTGTAGCTTGTGCTCACTGCAGTACCATAGTTTTGAATATTATCTGCTCACTCTCTTGACTGCACAGATAAGATTAAACCATTTTTGTGTGATTTTACAGCCTTGGGACTAGCAGCAGGGCTCACAGAGCCTGCTGAGTGCAGGTTGCACTCCCCTGATGCAGCTGTGAAGGATGCTCCTTCCCTTCCCCACTGAGAGCAGAAGTCCCTGGCCCCACAGTTAAAGACGGCCCTTCCCCAATGCCCCCCACCCTGCTTTGCATCTCTCCCCACCTCCTTTTTTTTCAAGCTTCAGAGAAGGCACAGCATTGTGTGGAAGCAATGAATGATGCAATTATGCTCCTCTGCAATAGAAAAGAAATCTAATGAGAAGTTCTAAAACTTTGAAGGTCCCCCTCTTTCTTTCCCTTTGCTTTCCCTAAGAGTTCATTTGGTTGCATTCACACAGCTGGTGACTCAAGCCACCAGAACTAAACAAATTCTTTAGAGAAATTAATTATAAAAATTTGCTGAGGCATAAGCACCTTGGGAAGGGCTCAGAAAAAAGCTGCAATAAACATGCAAAGGCAAAGAATTTTTCCTGATAGTGAGTGATGATCTAAAGCTATCATTATAATTAGTTTATCAGAAAGAATGGGTAACTATTAGAAAAAATAAACCTAAGATTATGGAGGATGCTTCAATGCTTTGACCCTTTAATTCACAGGTAGATATTTCTCTGAAGAAATTTGTATGATTAAAAAACTTAGTCCTGTTATATCCTTTCAAAAGGCATGGGCAGTGACAGGGTGAAATGCACAGGGGCTTTTAGCTTAACACACTGAATTATTTTTTTTGTCAAGAGCAAAATACTTTTGAAAAGTAAACACTGAGATGTGGTAAGGATTGAAAAAAATGGGAAAGAGTCTTGAATTGTTGGTAGTTAAAACTGTTTCTTGTAATGAGTCAGAGGAAACCAGAAATGTAGCTTTGGAAGGAGCCAGATTCCTGTTATGTCAAGCCAGAAAAAATTACAAATGCTGATGATAGTGAGAAATTACTTTATCATTTCCTTGTGGAATACCATGGGATGTACCATACCACGCTGTTACTGTACTGTCAGTGTATTTGGAAAGAAATAGGTGTTAAAAAGTCTACCAAACAGTCCTGAACATCAACATCATATCAGAGCTTCTGTGTAGTTCATTTGTGTGGGGAGGATATGAGGTGAAACAGTGTCTAACACTTACATAAACATTGTGAAGTTACACAGGAATGGATAAGTAACAAATTGTATTTCTATTGCTGCATTTATCTTCCAAATCTTTTTCAGTTCAACACAGAGTCCCTCAAGTAGATTGTTGTTACTGGCAAGTCACACCAATATAAAACTGAACACATTTTGTTTCAATGTGTTGTGTTGGCAACAAGAAAAAGGAACACTGCAATGCCTGAGTGCCAATATAAAAGATACTTCACATGTAAATTATTGAAAAATATTTCTTTTATGCTACAGAGCACATGCATCTGAGCATTTACTCCAGGCTGTATAACAGAATCTGTTGAATTTTGGTGGGAATCACACCATGACAAAATTCACCTAAAGCTAAGCAAGACTTCCTAGGCTCTCCATACGGCCAAGGAAGAGACACAGATTTGCAAGAGGGTGATTAGTTTTAGTGAGTAATGTGCCTGGTTTGCATTATCCCTGGGAAACACTTTTTTTTCTCTCCACTGACTATAAAAGGAGACTGAGGTGACCAGATTAGACTCAGAAAACTAACTCTGAGACAAAGTTAGACAAGAGGTATGCCATGCTTCAGGGACAAATCATAGAATAGTTTGGGTTGGAAGGGACCTTTAAAGCTCATCTAGTCCAACCCCCCTACAATGAGCAGGGACATCCATGATGGACACCTTGGAAGGGAGTACAAGGATAAGAATGCTAAGCAATAATGAAGGCAGGATATTTTATTTATATGAAATAGGACCTTTCCATCAGGATGAATGCTTCTGAGATTACATGAAACAACAGAAAACTAGGAATTAGCTCCTTGAGGTAAAAAAGTAGCACACAGTGTGCTAGTTATTTTGTAAGAGACCTTTTCAGTTGACTCCAATCAACACCTTCAATAGGCAGTTGTGACAACTTCTCACATTTAAGGTCCAGTAAACAGAGGATGGACTTGTGATGATTTGCTTCTGATGGTTAGGTAGTTCAGAACATATTAGTGAGGCAAAGGCTCTTGGGAAGCCAGGCAAATAAAAATAATAGCAAAGGTGTCACTGAAGGCAGAGTTGAAGAAGTCTGGCTCAACAGACTGGTAAATGGACTTGAAAATGGAAGCAACATGGTACAAATAGAATGGTAGGAACTGGATGAAAGTAGGAATGGTCTGAAAGAAGGTAATGAGGGATGAAATAAGTAAAAAAGAAGATGAAGACCAAAGCTAGGGCAACTGTTTTAGTTCCAAGAGTGTGAAGGTGTCATGATTTTTAAGGAAGTTATAAAGAAAATTGTGAAGTGGTAAAGAAAATTACTTGAGACTGCAAACCTGTGGACAACTCCCTGGGCTTTTTGGCTGGGTTTGGCAGACCATGTTGGGAGTTACACGGTGCCAGTAAAACACCACAGATGTACCATTCATGTACCAGAAATATGACAGCTAAAACTACTCCAAGAACTCTCTGGCAGCAAAGCATGACATGGTGACTGCTGAGTAGGTATACTCTGAGGAATGGAAAAGAAATCTACCCTGCTGATACAAAAAGGCAAAGATAAGTTCAAGCAAAGAGAAAAAATAAGTTGAATGGAGTTTGGAGGCAGGAGCCACACTGTAAGACACAAGGAGATGCAAGAAACTGGTACAGTCAATTTAATCACACTGGTGGTTTTTGGTAATGAAATGACATTCAGAGAGGACACATGATAACAGTCCAAAAAAGAGAGGAAAACTGAAGATGAGCAATTGTGTTCTTAGATAAATAGAAAAAACAGATGCAATGGTCACAAGCTAAAGGGAAATTGTTTGACACTTATGAACATTTTTCATTGACAGATGGCCTGGGTATGATGTGACTCTCCATCACCAGAGATCTTTAAGAACAAGTGAGACAAACAGTTTTGGGAATCATGTGGGTATAACAACACCTGTCTGTAATCCTGCCTTGTTGCACTGGAAGAGATGGTATGGACAAGATGATCTCCATCAGTCCATTAAGTCTTTCAGCACTGTAGACCATGACTGTGAAAATAAGACTGAATGAGGTAATAAGCAAAACTTTCAAGAACATCAGCAGGACTAAGTGGCAGAGGATAAGATACTGGAACTTGAAGACTGTATGTCCACATTGCTAAGCACACCTACAGCACTAGTATCAGTAGGAGGGACAAGCCCATAACGGCAAGAGTCATAGGCTGGCTTGGCTGAGTAGCACTCCCTGTGACTTTAAACAGACACAGCACCAACCTCCAACTACAGAAAAATATTTTCTAGAAAGCCAAAGGATTTGGCTGCTTTATTGCTGCATGAGTGAAGAGTTCAAACACCACAGTTTCCCTTTTCTTGCCAGGATTAATCTTTCTGTCCTATATATTACTTTAATTGCCAATGATTTCATATAGAACCTTTTTTTAAAACAATTTGAGTTTATTAAAGAACACCGTCTGTCCCCTGTCAGAAGAAAATGTTTTATATTTAATTTAGTATAAGTTACTTATTTAAAAAAAATCCCCTTAAAATGTCTATTGATTATAGAGTAGATATGTTTGCTCACATATTAGCACTGGATGGTGTACCTGTTCTCATGCATGCTTTAAACATCATGTGTTTACTTAGGAGCACTGGCGTATCCACTTTTCTTTCTTTACTACTGCAAACATAAGCTTATTTTTTTTCTATAAAGCTGGTAACACCACACACCAATCTTTTACTGGTTTTGAAAGAACTAGTTGGAGATGGTTTGTATGAGCCAGAGAAGGTTACTAGGTCCAAGGAGAACTTCTGTTTACCTCAAAGCTCTTAAAATTATCATCAATTTTAGGTAAAGCTAATTAAATCAGTGCCTGGCCTTCACAAGGGAGAGGAAGGGACTACAAATGGTTGTTGCCCCAGAGTGGAAACTAGCTGGTCCCTGGACTAGACCCCTCATTCAGTTAATCCCTGTGTTGATGATGGCTAGAATTCATTAGTGTCACTAAGGATATCTGAACATCACAGCAAAAGAGAATGCTGCTCTTATGCAGCAAATAAATACATTTACCTCCATATTACCAAAAAGACAACAGCACATCGGATTTTGCTCACAAAAGATTCAACAGAACCATTAGTAGCTGGGAGGTTTTATTATACTGTAGAAATACTGAACCTTGTGAGCCAAATTCTGAAGTGCTTGGGTCAGCCAGAAGTCACAGAGAAGTCAGAGGGTCAAATGCGATTTTAATGTAACCTCAAAACAAAGCCATCAAAACCAGAAGCTGAGCAGTCTCAGCGAGTTATGCTAAGAACTGATACACTGACAAAGTCATGTATGGACATAGGCATATGGGCAAGGTCAGGTATAGCTTCACATACAAAGTAATAAGGGGACATGGGAACAGTGAATAAATGTTTGAATAGAGTAACCAGTAAGGAAAGAAATATATTTTACACAGTTAAGGGAAGTGGTGTAAATAGAAGCAGCAGAAAGTTCAGGCTAAATGCCATTTTTGATTCTGGGACTCCCTCAAGGGTCTTCCTCATTTCTGAAGTCTGACATTCATGCTTACTATGCGGTTTTGGCAAATATGGGCACACCTGCGGCTTTGTTAAATATGGATGCGATAGCTGATAGCGGGTCTGCTAATGCATCTGTGCAGGAGTGGAAGTGGTAATATTCTGCTGCTTTGTACTGCCGGTGGGATCAATGACTTGAGGTGCAACAGAAGACTGAAAGAGAGTAGAAGGAAGAACAGCCCCTCACAGACTTTGTGCCTGTGACAGCCCAGCACTACTCAATGGCTAGAAGAACGTGTCTAACATTCATCTAATAGAGCATTTCTGGGCTGCTTGCCACCACAAGCCATACTACAGTCTCCCAGCCCTTATCTGGGAGCACAGTGGCCAAGACTTTGCTTTTAATGAGGACATATTAAAACTGGATGTTGCAGTGATCAGGCTAATTTTCCATCCTATTGACAACTTTGCTCTCTGGAAAAAGCAGGGACCATCTTTCTGTGATTGTCCCCTGCCATCTCAGTCGGCGTGCTGAAATGGAGCAAAGCAAAGACACGTTTGCCGGATCAGCGTGATTTATCTGTGCAAAATCAAGATGTTTTGTTCCAACACCCGCAAAATGACACTAGGAAACAGGGAAATACTGAAAGTAGCAGACGGTGCCCAGGAGGCACCAGGAGGTACCCGGCTCCTGCTCTTCGTCTTGCGGCTGTCAGGAGGCTGCTGCGAGGGGCCGAGGGCCCGTCGGCCGCCGCTCGCCCTCCCCGGGGGGGGTGACGGGGGCCCCCGCGGCCGCCCCCTTCCCTTT